ATATTTGCTACTGTTAATCCCATCCCCCTCCCCCCCATAGTTTCCCAGTACCATCAGTCATTTTCTTATAGTATTGCATTGGATGTTCAAGGTCCATTATATGAGTGAGAACATGTGATATTCGGATCTTTGTTTTTGTGAGAGGTCACTCAGTATTATAGACTCTAGTTCCATCCAGGTTGCTGCGAAATTCATGATTTTGTTCTTTTTTATGGCTGCGTAGTATTCCATCGTGTATATGTACCACATTTTTTTAATCCAGTCCTCTTTTGATGGGCAGCATGGTTGTTTCCAGGTTCTTGCTATTGTGAACGATGTTGCGATAAACATACGTGTGCAGGTATCTTTTTTATAGAGTGATTTGTGTTCTTCAGGGTATATTCCCAGTAGGGGGATTGCAGGGTCATATGGAAGGTCAATTTTTAGAGCTTTTAGGAATCGCCACACTGCTTTCCACAGAGGTTGCACTAGTTTACACTCCCACCAACAGTGTAGAAGTGTTCCCTTTTCACCACACCCTCTCCAGCAGCTGTTATTTTTTGAGTTGTTGATAATTGCCATTCTGACTGGAGTTAGGTGGTATCTCAGTGTGGTTTTGATTTGCATCTCCCTGATGATTAGTGAGGTTGAGCATTTCTTCATGTGTTTGTTGGCTGCTCGAATGTCTTCTTTTGTGAAGTGTCTGTTCATGTCTTTTGCCCATTTTATAATGGGGTTGTTTGTTTTCTTCTTTTCAGTACATTTCAGTTCCTTGTAGATCCAGGATGTTAAGCCTTTGTCAGACCTAGAGTTGGCAGATACTTTTTCCCAGTCTGTAGGCTGTCTCCCTGCTCTCTTAATGGTTTCTTTGGCTTTGCAGAAGCTTGTCAGTTTAATAAGGTCCCATTTGTCTATCTTCTCTCTTAAGTCCTGTGGGTTTCGGGTTTTGTACAGGAATTGGATGCCAGTTCCGATTTCCATGAGAGTATTTCCTTCCTTTTCTAAGGCCAATCCCTTTCTTATAGTATTATGATAATTGTTCAAGGTCTGCTTATGAGTGAAAGCATGTGATACTCAGGTCTTTGTTTCTATAAAAGAACACTCAGTATTATAGACTCTAAGTCCATCCAAGTTGCTCCGAAGTTCATAATTTTGTCCTTCTTTATGGCTGTGTAAGATTCCATCATGTATATGTACCACATTTTTTTTATCCAGTCCTCTTTCTATTGGCAGCATGGGTGGTTCCATGTTTTGACTATTGTGAATAATGCTGCAATACACATGCCTGTGCAAGTTATCTTTCTCATAGAGTAATTTGAGTTCTTCTGGGTATATTCCCAGTAAGGGGATTGCAGGGTCATATGAAGGTTGATTTTTAGATCTTTTAGGAATTGCCAAACTATTTTCTACAAAGGTTGTACTAGTTTACACTCACACCAACAGTGTAGAAGGGTTCCCTTTTCCCCACTACCTCTCCAGCATCTATTGTTTTTTGAGTTACTGATGATGGCCATCCTGACTGGTGTTAGGTGGTATCTCAGTGTGATTTTAATTTGCATTTCTTTAATGATTAGGGAGGCTGAGCACTTTTTTTTTTTTTGAGTTGGAGTCTCACTCTGTCGCCCAGACTGGAGTGCAGTGGCCGCTCCCGGCCACGGCAGCCTCGACCTGCTGGCCTCTGGTGATTCTTCCGCCTCAGCCTTTCGAGTAGCCGGAATTACAGGCATGCACTACCACGCCCGGCTGATTTTTTGATTTAATGTAGAGATGAGGTCTCGCTGCCCAGGCGGGTCTCGAACCCGCGGGTTCAGGCAATCCACTCACCTCAGCCTCCCAAAGGCACGGGATTACAGGCTGAGCCACTGAGCCCGGCTGAGGCTGAGCACTTTTACATGTATCTAGTGGCTGCTCATATATCTTCTTTTGAGAAGTGTCTATTCATATCTTTTGCCCACTTTATAATGGGGCTGTTTATTTTTTTCTTTTGGCACATTTGTTCCTTGTAGATCCTAAATGTTAGGCCTTTGTCAGATACACAGTTGGCAAATGTTTTTTCCCAGTCTGTGGACTGTCTCCCAGCTCTCTTGATGGTTTCTTTGGCTTTGCAGAAGGTTTTCAGTTTGATGAGGTCCCAGTTGTCTATCTTATGTCTTATGGCATGGGCACTTGGGGTTTTGATCAGGAATTGGTTGCCAGTTCCAATTTTCATAAGGGTGTCTCCTGCATTTTCTAAGGTTCTTATAGTTTGAGGTTTTATATTTAGGTCTTTGGATCCATTTAGAGTTAATTTTTGTGTATAGTGATAGGTAGAGGTCTTGTTTTAATCTTCTGCATGTGGTCAGTCAGTTTTCCCAGCACCATTTACTGAATAGGTTCTCCTCTCCCCAGTTGTTGGTAGTGGAGGCTTTGTAGAAGATGAGTTGGTTGAGAAATCGAGGTTTTGCTTCTGGAATCTCTATTCTGTTCCATTAGTCTATATGCCTGTTCTTGTACCAATACCAGGCTGTTTTGATTGTTGTAGCTTTATAATAAAGTTTAATGTCTAGAAGTGTGATAACTCCCACTCTGTTTTTTATTTGTTATTTTTGTTGTTGTTGAGGATAATTCTGGTGATTCATGGTTTATGTTTCCATATGAATTCCTGTATTGCAGTTTCTAGGTCTGAGAAGAATGCTGCTGGTAATTTAATGGGTATTGCAGTAAATCTATAGATTGCCTTGGGTAGGATGGACAGCTTAACAATGTGGATTCTTCCAATCCATGAGCATGGAATATTTTTCCATTTGTTTGTGTCATCTTTGATTTCTTTGAGCGGTGTTTTGTAGTTTTCATTGTAGAGGTCTTTCACATCTCTAGTTAGGAAGATGCTAAGGTATTTATCTCTTTTTTGTGGCAATTGTGAATGGAATTATGTTTTTTATTTGGGTTTCTGTTTGTTTTATTGTTGGTATACAGGAATGCAACTGTCTTTTGCACATTTATTTTATACCCTGAGACTTTGCCAAAGTCCTTTATCAGTGCAAGGAGGGTTTTGACAGAGTCTCTTGGGTTTTCAAGGTATAGAATCATATAGTCTGCAAAGAGGGATAACTTAACTTCCTCTTTTCCTGTTTGGACACCCCCGATTTCCTTCTCTTGTCTGATTGCTCTAGCTAGGACTTTCAATACTATGTTGAACAGGCAGGATGAGACTGGATCCCCATTGCTCAGTGACAGATTCTTGAGGGGGAAGATGTGCTCAATGTCTTGCAGTTGGGAAATGCATGGAATTTTGAAACCAAACTGTGTAGAGAACAAATGAGTAAAACAAACTAGAGTTAGACATGTCAACATGAACAAGGATACCAGCTGAGATATTTTAAAATATAAAGTCAGTCCTTCATGGGTAGGTTCCACATTCATGGATTCACTGTAGATTAAAAATATTTCAAAAAAAAAAAAAAGGGGTGGTTGCATCTGTACCAGACATGTACAGACTTTTTTCTTGCAGTTATTCACTAAACAATACAGCATAACAATTATTTACATAGCATTTGCATTGTATTAAGTATTATAAGTAATCCAGATATGAATTCAATATATGGAAAAATGGGCATAGGTTATATGCAAATACTACACTATTTTATAACAGGGACTTGACATAAAAGGTCTGAAGGAGGTCCTGGAGCCTATCCTCCACAAATAACAATGAACAACTGCACATTGTTGTTGTGGGAACATACATACATAGTAAAAGCACATAAACAATGTGGTTATAAACAACAACTAGAGCAGAAAGGTTATCTGGCAGGAGGCAGAGGGGGAAGGATGTGCTGAAGTTACAATACTTCTTAAAGAAAAAAGGTAAATACAGCAAAATTTCATCTGTTTATCCTGAGTAGTGGGTGCATAGGAGACTGTTGCCTTATTCTTTACTCTTTTACACATTTGAAAAGAAACTTTTAAACTAAAAGGAAAAAAAGGCCAACCTAAGAAAAGATCTAAATAAGGCCATGGGCAAGGGCTCAGTCACTGGTTTGCCTAACTGGAAATGTTTCAGTCTCACAAGTGCTCCACAAACAACAGTCATACTTTGAAAACAAGACAACATACATCCACAGATATGTCAAAAGAGTGGTTCTCCTGTATAACAGAACTGCTCAAAGCTCTGGTTTTCAAACCTAGTTGCACCTAGGCATCACCTGGATAACTTCTAAAAATGCTGATGCCCAGGTCCCATTCTATAACCATCAACCAATCAGAATGTGGGTGTGAACACACCCAGGAATGAGGGTAGGTGTGTGTTGAGGCGCAAGATCAACTTTGGTTCTCATATATTTTACAGAATGCATCAACAGTTGCTTCAAGGCAAAAACACCTGTGGCTGAATTTTCACCTGCAGTAAAGAAAGAACAATCAGTTGCCACGACCTCTCCATTAAGAGGCTCTCAAAATGAAGTCAAAACAACACAATGAAAATTGTACAGAATCAATCACTTTACTATATTTGTGAGAATTATAAATTAACAATTTTCATTTTAGACAAAAACAGAGAAGTTCATCCCTTTTTAGTTCTTATAGAAAATCACAAATAAATGACTCAACTGAAAGTTCATTTAATCTGTTACTGAGCATCTACTACATGCCAGGCACAGTGTTGGGTGCTGGGAGACTGAGAAGACCGTGCCAAAGTCCCCACACTTAAGGAGCATGCGTGTGAGTAGAGACAGAGCCTATAGTGTGGGTTGGCTGCCAGAACAAAAGTACCAGACATGGGAACACAGAGGAGAAGCACAGAGAAGGCTCTAGTTAGCGGAGACAAAAGGCAGGAAAGCTTCTGTTTAATTCAACAAATCACTGGCTACCCAAGTGAAGGAATAGTGAGGAAACAGGTTCTACACAATAGAGGCAACATGTAAAGCAGAGCACAGACTCAAGACGTCATCTTTTAAGAGAAGTGGAAATAGAGCAGAATTCGAGCCTCCTCAGTTTACCTAAGGGCAGACTGTTTATCCATGTATTCACTGAATATTTTGAACACTTTACAGGATGTATCCCAGGCATACTTTAGAGGAAAATATTACTAAGAATCAACAAAAACACCTAAATATTAGGTTTCCACTGCATAAGTAGCCTAGATAGTAACTTCGTCTCCCAGCTCCAGCTATCACTCTTGGTTCCTCTCCCTCCTGGCTGAGATGGCACAACCAGGGTCAAGCTCGGTGGTCTGCAGGAGTAGGAAGCACACAGCATTGCATCATTTTCTGACCCAAGGACTGTTCTCATCTTCAAGGAAGAAGGATCAAACAAGAAATGGCAAACAATGGGACTATGTTATCACACGGTAATGCTTAATATTCTTCAAGTACTGTACTCAAATTTGTTTTCATTTTTAATTTTTTAGTTAACAGCTAAAGATGGCAAAACTTTTGCTGGTCTTGTGGGTTGGGTTTCAATGGCGATGACCCCACTCCCTCCTTCTCACAATTACTCCTATTAACCAATCAAGAATTGGTCACTGCCATGCAGGTAGAAGGAGTCTTTAAAAGACCTTTAAACCACCTTTAAAATTCTAATTTCATTTTCCAGCACAGGATAATCCATTTCAGATGAAATCTAAACCTTAATACAATCTGTTGAAAAGCAAGAAACTGGTCAAGGACACCTGCAGCTGGGTACATTTGATGAATGGCCACACTTTAACCTTTTAGGTGGAATAAAGTTATTTCAACACTTGTAATTAGGGTTGTAACCTAACTACCCTTTTAATAGAATGCCTGTTAACAGGAGGCAATTCTACCTACCATGAAAAAATAAAAAGATGGCATCCAGAGACAGTACGTATTTAAGTAGGTTTAACAAGGAACTCTCTTCTTCCACTTCAAGTGTTCTGTTCCTGATATTTTAACTCTCCATTCATCTGCGCCCAGTGATTCACCCCATACTAGAATTGCAGAGGAAACTGTTTTAAAAAACATCAATGCCTTATCCCCACCTCAAGTCAACTGAATACAAATCTTTGGGAAAGGAGTTCATGAACTGGTAATTTTAAAAAAGATCTCTTGCTGATACTAATGCACAGTCAGAGTTAAATAAAACATTTTTTTAAAAAAACATGTATTTTTGCAGATCAGATGGCATAGAATCATAGAAACGGGATGCTTAACATATCAAGCCCCACCCAAAATCAGGTTCTTTTCCATGACTCTTGTGCTTTATGGAGCTGAGTCCCTCTGTAACCCAGCCCCCAATGCCACCCTGCCTATACCAATTACTCTCCAAGCCTTTACTTCTGCGATGTGATTTCTGGCCTCCACACACTCCATCTCTAAATCTCACTATCAGACATAAGAAATGCCTGACCTGAAGCATTCCTGATAGATAATTACCTGACCTTTACTTAAATAAAGCCAGTAAAGGAAATGCTGACAGTCTCCCAACATGGTCATGTCTGTGGCTGGCCACTTCTCATAATTAGAGAATACTTGAGGCTGCAGAATTCAGGTCTGCTTGGACACCACTACATCTTTGGTCTCTACTCTCCAACGTGGCCCAGTCTGAGGCTGCCCTGCCCTGGGCCAAGACAATGCCACCCAATCCAGTGAATGGGCCACTGAGAGTAAGGACCACTCTGATTCATCTTTTAAGTCCCAGCAGGGGCTTAAAAAGACAGGGCTTGGCACACCATAGGTGTTAATAAGTGTGGCAAGAAGTAAGGAGGAAAAAAGGTATGTAAATGCAAAAGAGGGTCATCATTACCACTGTGCTCTAATCATTTACCTATCTACATACCCTCTCAGCACATGTCATTTATAATTACCACTGTTTTATACATTAGGTCCATAAAAATGAGAAGAATGTTCTTTTAACTTGAAAAATTCGGCTGGGCACAATGGCTCACACCCATAATCCCAGCACTTTGGGAGGCCTAGGCAAGAAGACCCCTGAGCCCAGGGGTTTGAGGCCAGCCTGGGCAACTTGGCGAGACCTCATCTCTACAATAAATCAAAAAATTAGTAGGGCATGGTGATGCATGCCTGCAGTTCCAGCTACTTGGAAGGCTCAGGTGGAAGGATTGCCTGAGCCCAGTAGATCGAGGCTGCAGTGGCCATGAGCAAGCCGCTGCACTCCAGCCTGGGCAACAGAGTAAGACTCCAACTCAAAAAAAAAAAAAGAAAAGAAAAAGGAAAAGGAAAATTCATAATCTGATGGAAGAAACTTTTTCTGAGCATTTTAAGTGTCACTTAATTCTCGCAGCAAAGCTACTGATGGGTTATTCCAGTTCTCAGATAACTGAGACATGCAGAATTAAGTGACTCAAACATGACTTAATTTCCACCGTCTCCTATGTACATCCTACCATATCAAAGGCAGTACTTAGGAAGGGTGCTGCTACAGTAGTGTCCAGAACTAAGGGCTCTAAAACAAAATCTGGCCCTAAACAAATTTGCAATGGCCACCTTGGCAACCAGTTAACTGACAATGCCTAGACTGCCTCCACCATAGAAAGAGAATATCATTTCCAGTGCACCCCAGTGTCCAGCACTACCCCTACTCATGAGAAGGTTAAATATCAGTTGAAATTTATCTTTACATATATGTTGTGGTTTTTCGCAATAGAGGCCCGTTTTGCTTCTTTGCCTTACCTGCCTGACTAGTGTAGATTTTGGGGTCTGAACTCTAGTATTGGCACTACTGGTTAAGGACCCCCAAAAGGTTCACAACCTCACCTGCTGTGGGAAAAAAAGAAAAAAAAAACTCTAATGTGGGCCCAAATGGCACTTTACATTTGAAACAGCTCATTTCTGTAGTCACAAGTGCCTATCAGAACAACACCATTAAATATGAATGCTTTTTGTTCTGATTATTGAAAATAGAGTTGTCAGGCAACCCCTTCGGGTCCCCTCCCACTGTGGGAGCTTTTCCATCCTTTCAATAAATCCTGCTTTCTAAAAAAAGAAAGCAGAAAAAGAAAATAGAGGTGCCATCTGCTCCCAGCTTCTTTGTGTTACATGGTCCTGCTTACCTTGTTCTATTTCCTTTCAATGGACTTGGCTCACCCACTCAAAAGAACACAGAATAGAAGCTTTATATACAAAGCAACTGCAAGCACTGACATTCCCTTCCCAGAAAACATCCAAACCACTTGTGCATTTCAAGATTACTCAGTCTGAGCTAAATGATCCCACGTCCTTCCTTCATCATGTTCTCCACTGAGTTTCTTGTGCTGTATGAAGCCAAGTCCTCCTAACCCAGCCCCAATGCCACCCCACTCATACCAACTGCTCTCCAAGTTTTTAACATCTGAAACATGATTTCTATCCTCACTCCAGCTCTAAATCTCACAATCAGTGGCAAGAGACACCTGTTCCACCTGGGCCAGTTGGATTAATCAGACAAGTCAGTCCCACACCAGGAGAAGGAAGAGGAATGGTCCTACCTTCATGGTTTACTGGTAAAGGACGAAACTCCTTATCCAAAACAACCAGAGAACACGTGGCATCAAACCCAAGTCCTCGAATTTGGTTTAAATCGATCCCTTGTACAACTTTCTGTTTTAAAAACAAACAAAAACATAAATTACAATACCAGGGTTTTGTATCACAGAATAGAAAAAAACATTCACAACATAAAACAGATAAAAGTATAAAATCACTAAAATACGAAAAGACCCTATAAATTAACTGGAAAGTAAACAACTAATCTAATTGAAAATTAAGCAAAGGACATGAAAAGACACTACATAAAATTTAAAAAAATCAAAGAGCATATGGAAAAAAATCCCAACTCACTATAATTAGGTAAATGTAAATAAAAAGTACCAAATCATTTGCTTTTCATATTGGTAAAAATGTAGACAATTACTACCAAAGTCAGTATCCCTTATCCAAAATGATTGGAACCAGAAGTGTTTCACATTTCAGAATTTTTTGCACTTCAGAACATTTACATACACATCATGAGATATTGTGGGGGTGGAACTCAAGTCTAAACACAAAATACATTTATTGTCAATATACACCTTATACACATAGTCTGAAGATCATTTTACACAATGTTTTTTAATAATTTTGTTCATGAAACAAAGTTTATATACATTGAACCATCAAAAAGCAAACGTGTCACTAACTTAGCCATCCAAGTATGGCAACATGGTAGTGCTCAAAAATTTCTGATGCACTTTGGACTTTGAATTTTTAGATTAGGAATGCTTAATCTGCATATAATAGTGGCAATATATAGAGAAGTGGACCCTCTTGAACATTATTGAGTACAAATTTTAGAGACTAATTTAACAGTATCATAATTAAAAATATGCATATCTTTTGGTCCATCCGAAAAAAAATACAAATTCCATCCCTAAGAACCTATCTTAGAAAATTATTGGCATAAGTAAGTTACATACAGAAGGTTAATGGCAGTACTGCTAAGAATATATTTTTAAACTGAAAAAAAAGTATTAAATAAATTATAGCATTATCTATAAAATAAAATGCTATGCAGAAATGTAAAAGAAAGAGGTAAAGATGCAATTTCTGAGTGTGGTGGTATGAAGTCAGAAAATTCTCTTAGCAAAAGTAAAGAATGAACAAAATCATCAAAACAACCATTTGGGGACTATGGAAATGGAGTAAGACCACCTGACAAAGTGAAAAACATTTTTTTTTGAAACATCAAATTTATACTTAAAACAGTCCCACAAAAGCAAAAAACTACAAATCCAAATGGCTTCATGGGGGAATTTTATCAAACATTTAAGGAAGGAACAGCACCAACTCTATACAAACTTGTTTAGAATACAGTGACAGAGGAACGCTTGCCAACAAATTTTACATAGCCAGCATTACCCTGATACCAAAGTCAAGCAAAGACATCATTAAAAAAGGTCATTACAGACCAATATTTGTTATGAACATAAGTGCAAAATTCCTTAACAAAATATTAACAAGCCAAATTGCGCAAGAAAATAAAACTGACATTATACACCATGATCATGTAGGATCACCTCAGGAATGCAAGGGCAGTTTAAAATTCACAAATCAATTAATAGCATACACATATTGAAAGAATAATGCACAAATACCAAATGATCATCTCAACATATGCAGAAAAATGTACACTTCCAAAACATAATACTCAGTATACCAGAAATAGAAGAAATTCCACAACTTGATTACATGCATCTATAAAAGCCTATAGCTAATATCACTTAATGGTAAAATGAATGATTTCTCCCCATTAGAAACAAAACAAGGATATTCACCTTTATCACCTCTATTCAGCCTTATATTAGAGGTTCTAGCAAATATAAAGCAAGAACAGAAATTAAAAGCACACAGACTGGAAAAGAAGTTAAAGTGTCTTTCTTTGCAGATGGCATGATCTCTCTCACACACAGAAAATCCTAAAGAATCTACATAAAAAAGAAAAAAAAATACTAGAATAAGCAAGTTTAGTAAGATAACAAGTTACAGATTAACATATAAAAATCCACTATATGTCTACATACTACTAGCAACTAACATCAAAAATGAAATTTAAAAAATAATTCATTCATTACTGCACCAAAAATAAAATACTATGTGTGATGGTCAATATTAGGTGTCAATTTGAATGGATTGAAAGGTGCCTAGATGGCTGGTGAAAGATTATTTCTGGCTGTGTCTGTGAGGGTGCTTCCAAAGGAGACTGACATGTAAATCAGGGGACTGGGAAAGGAAGATCCACCCTCAATGTGGGCAAGCACCATCCAATCAATTGCTGGTGGGGTTAGAACAAAGCAGATAGAAGAAGGGGGATATATTCAGCTTGCTGAGATTCCTCCCTCTCTCTACCTTCCTGAGCGGGACTCCTTTTGTCCTGCCCTTGGATGTCAGATGCCAGGTTTTTCAGCCTTTGGGCTTTGGGGCTTGCACCAGTGGCCTCCCAGGGAATCTTAGGCCTTCATCTCAGATTGGGGGCTGCAATGTTGGCTTTCCTAATTTTCAGGCTTTCAAACTTGGATTTGGTTTCAAACTTAGACCAGGATTTATCATTCCCCAGTTTACACTAGGCCTAGTGGCCTAGTGAACTTCAACCTTCTAATCATGTAAGCCAATTCTCCTTAATAAACTTATACACACACACACACACACACACACACACACACACACACACACACACCTTTATATATGCCAGTAGATATATATATATATATTTTTTAAATTATACATATCTCCTATTAACTCTGTCTCTCTGGAGAACTCTAATACATTCAGGAATAAATTTATCAAAAGAAGTTGAAAATCTATACCCTAAAAATTACCAAACTTTGTTACAAATAGCTACAAATTGAGGAAATATGAAAAAGTCAACATTGTTAAGATGGCAATCTCTTCTAATTAATCTACAGATTTTACACAACTCCTATGAAAATTATAACAGGTTTTATTTAATTTTTTTTTTATAGAATCTGACAAGTTGTCCCTAACATGCATAATAGAAATGCAAAGGACACAGAAGAGCCTAAACACTTCTGGAAAAAGAGAACAAACTTAGAAAGCAATTTCAAAACTTACTATAAAACTACCATAGCTAAGTCAATGTGGTATTGGCATAAGGTTAAATCAAAAGATCAATACGACAGAGTAGAGATATAAGAAAGAAATCCAAACATCTACAGTCATTTGGTTTTTGGTAAAGGAAACCAATTCAGGGGGAAAGGGAAAAACAATTTGATGCTAGATCAAAATGCCTATACGCAAAAAAGAAAAAAAAACCTTAAAGAACTTACACTCTTACCTCACACTACATAAAAAAAATGTGTATCACTGAACGTAAGAACTACAAAATTTGTAGAAGATCATGAAATCTTTGTGACCCTGAATTAGACAAAAATTTCTAAAAAAGTAAGACCCATTAAAGAAAAATATTGATAAATTTAACTTCAACAAAATTTTAAAATTTTCATCTTCAAAAGAAATATTAGAAAATGAAAGATAAGCTACAAACTGGGAGAAAACATCTGTCAATTAAACATTTGATAATATACGTATATAAAGAATATGTAAAACTCTTATAAATAATTTAATAATAAGAGGAAAAACAACCCAATTATAAAATAAGCAAAAGATGAGAATAGATACCTCACCAAAGAGGAAATGCAAATGGCCAGTATATACATTAAAAAGTGCTCACATCACTAGTCACTAAGGAAGTGCAAAGTAAACTCATAATGAGATACCACTACACACTTACTAGACCAGTTATAATCACAATGTCTGATAACATCAACAGTGAAAAAATCATGGACAAAGTAGAACTCTCTTACATTGCTGGTGGAAATGTAAAATACAGCCACTTTTTTAAAAAGTCTGGTATTCTGGGGAGTTTGGGTGGTTTTTTTAAACATAACTTGGCACACAACTCAACAATTTCAGTCTTAGGTATTCACTCAAGAAAAATAAAAGCATATGTCAACACAAAGACCCGTAAGCAAATAGTCATAGCAACATTATTTATAATATCCCCAAGCTGTAAACAATCAAAATATCCATAATTGAAAGAAATGCAAAATAAAGTGTGGCATATCCATACAATGGAATACTACCTATACGTGTAACAATATGAATGAACCTGAAAAATAATACGCTAAATGAAAGCACCAGAAGCCGGGCTTGGTGGCTCAGCCTGTAATCCCAGCACTTTGGGAGGCTGAGGTGAGTGGATTGCCTGAGCCCATGGGTTCGAGACGCGCCTGGGAAACTTGGCAAGACTTCATCTCTACAATAATTCCAAAATTAGTCGGGCGTGGTTACGCGCACCTGTAGTTCCAGCTACTTGGAAGGCTGAGGCGGAAGGATCGCCGGAGCTCAGCAGGTCGAGGCCGCTGCACTCCAGTCTGGGTGACAGAGTGAGACTCCAACTCAAAAAACAACAAAAAAAGGAAGCGCCAGAAACAAAAGAACACCTGTTGTGTGATTACATAACATTTTGAAAAAGAGCAATTATAACAACAGAAAGCAGAGAATTACCAATAACTAGGGCTGGAGACTGACAGCAAATAGACAAAAGGAAGTTTTTTGGAGTGGTAACAGTATTCTAAAATTGGATTATGGTGATGACCATTAACTGTATAAATTTACTCAAATAACTGAATAATACATTTACAATGGCTGAATTATATGATATATAAATTACACAACAAGCTGAAAAATATTTTGAATAAAATAAGTTGTCGCTATCATCCATAACTCGAAAAACAACAGATGCTGGAGAGGATGCGGTGAAAAGGGAACACTCTACACTGTTGGTGGGAGTGTAAACTAGTATAGCCTCTGTGGAAGACAGTGTGGCGATTCCCAAAAGATCTAAAAAATAGACCTTCCATATGACCCCACAATCCCCCTACTGGGAATATACCTGGAAGAACGCAAATCCCTCCATAAAAAAGATACCTGCACAGCATTGTTCACAGTAGCAAGAACATGGAACCAACCGTGCTGCCCATCAAAAGAGAAGTGGATTTTTTAAAATGTGGTACATATACGCAATGGAATATTTCGTAGCCATA